GTAGCTTTCTTATACTCGTTGGTCGCGTTGGCGCCTGCGTGGCCTGCCGATTCGTTTTCACTAATATTCTCTTCACTTTCAACTTCATCGTCTTCGTTCTCTGTTTCACTATCTCCATCGCGACAACCTTCATTTAAAAAATGTCCATTTTGCAGATTGTGGAAAATATGCAGTATCATATCATGTTCATCGTAATTAATTGTAAGCAAATTACAAATTGAAATTAAATCGCACTCCTTTAGGTTTTGTTTAATATATTCGTACTTCTTTGCATATTTTTCATCGTATTCACTGAAATCAAAACCCGCGAACTCTCTTAATCGTTTTCTGTTGTCTCTGTCGCCTTCTCTCTCAAATACATACTTATGTAAAGCCACAATATTTTTCTTATTGGAAACACGCAAATTTCTTCGAACATTCTCGAAATCAAACAAACGCGACATTGTGAAATGCAAATTTCTTTTATTTAATCACATTAATTCAGTCACAGGATTGTTGCTGCTTGTTTGTCGGTCACACGAATTAAGAAATTAAACCGTTTTTATAAATTACACTACCGCACTACAAGGCATTGGTTGAGCCCCCATATTTATGGTAATTCTTCACTCAAAGTTTATTAATTACAAAGTTTATCGATATCAAATTAAAGTACAAGCAAAGTAGTAGCATTTATTTAGAATTAAACGAAATGAAATTGAAAGTTAAAATTCAGGATTATTATACAGATATGTACGTCTTTAAAAGCGAACCGTCTTCTCCGCCGTCTTTGTCTTAACTCACTCGTCGTTCTTCTTACTTCCTCCTTACATCGTCGTTCTTCGCAATTTTGTCTTCGCTCTACCAGTAGTTGCCATCATTCTTCACCTCTTACAGCTGGATATTAGAGTTAGGGTTTCCACCCCACATATATATCCACTGATCGGATCTTAACCAGATTAGTATGGGACCACCTCTGAGATACTGCCTTTCCGATGCAAAAAGAATTATCGAAATCGGTTGACGTGGTCCAAAGTTATGCGGTAACGTACATAAAAAAAAATAAAAAATATATATATATATATTCCGACGAACTGATAACCTCCTCCTTTTTTGGAAGTCGGTTAATAAAAAGAAGCCGTAATTTTTGTCTAAGCAAACTTTTACTTCTTATATAATTACTTTAAACCGGTCACAATTATATTTCCCACCATAAATATTTTTTAAAATGTCTATGAAGATTATATCAGCCTCGTTTTAAATGAAAACAAAAGCGTATAGTATATATTTTACAACACAAAAAAACGTCCACCAAAATTAAGTGTCCTGGCCAAAATTTATCTTTTAGTGCAAAAAGGTAAAATAGAGAGATTTTCAGTGTACCACCGGTCACATTACCTCAAATGATTGTTACAAAGAACTTATTAATCGCTTGGTATTTCTTTAAAGGAATTTTCTACATTATTTATGTATCTACTATGTTAAAAGATATCTTCTGCTGATTTATAAGCCTCGACAGCATAGATATAATTCACACTTGATCACATTCTGGAGTCAAATATCCCAACAGTCACAATAGAATGGCCCTGTTATAGGTTCTAAATATGAAACAATTCGGACCATAAATACGGATTTTCCAAATATCTTGACTCCTGCACCACCTAGCGATTAACTCATCTTTCATATTGCAATGTAATTGGTTTTGATCTCCCTACGTCATCGAAAATTTATTAAAAAGTTGTTGCAAGATTTGCGCTCAACAAACATACTTAAATACATACATGCACACAAACATACAAACATTTAAGAAAGTTAAACCAAAGCGGGTAATGGTTTTATTAGTAAAAACTACAATCATATTTACTTATTTAAAAAAACAAAATAAATGCACATGTTTATGTTCAATGAGTGATTTGAATCTAGAATTCACTGTTCATCGTCCTCCTTAACCTTCATTTTTCAACCAATTAGATTATGTGTTTTTTTTTAAGGAAAGCATATAAAACTTACAAGTTGAGCACCATTTCTTAATTTTTATTTATTTTTATAAAATGTTTAGTACAAAATTTGTTCCACTTTATAAATTATACATAATAAAAACTAGTTGAAAATAATTGTAGGGTACCACCAAAATGAAAAAATCACAAATTTTAAATTTTTTGCTTCAACAGTTTTATTAAGCTTTATACTACGATTTTGTGTTTTAGGAAAATGGAAAAAGCAACAAAGTCTAAGAGGTAGAAGTTATAGTTTCTATTTAAAAGATTACCACATCTCCTCATCAGACTTCTTTCTCTAGAATTCAGCAGGAATCGATCCCGCATCATCGATGTGCAAAGTCAGCAACGCCAACCACTGAGCAATGCACAATCCGTAAACTCTTGTTGCTAATCCATTTCCTTATTCAACATACTACTATAGCCAAGCAGAGTGGACCACACTCCGACTGTCACGAAACGTATCGATTTAGCTGACTCCTCGCGAGGAGTCCCGTACCATTGAGATAATTGAGGGACAAAGAGGGCAACTGGCCGATGAGCGGAGAGTGCTCCTTACTGCTGTAGAAATACCATGCGGAAATGATGGTACATCTCTCCAAGAGTTTTATGCTGGCTATATGAAACGAAAATCAAGCCGAAAGCACTAAGTTCTCTTTCCGCCCAGTGAACGGGCACACGATATTTCCCAAAAGCTTAAACTCCCCACCGGAAGAAATGAATCGGAGTGTTCCGAGGCTTGCTCCAAATAGATCCTTCTACACGCACATCCTTCTTACGGGCGAATGGGAGAATGGAAGTCTCTGGCGTAAAGGTCCAATAAACATCTTCACGAATAGATAGAAGCTAGACGGGAAAGTTAGAGAAGGTTTTTACGATCAGGAAATCTCAATAAATCGTATGTTCCGACTGCCAGATCTCTGAAGTGTCTTTCAGGCAAACGTGGCTGCTATACAAGGGATAGCCGATTGGCTGCGTAGCAATATTTCGCAGACTAGGAGGGACTACTCTGATAGCCAAGTGGCTTGCTTTCGAAACTGGTCGGGGAATGCCAGACCTCTCACTTAAACGCCTCGAAATACTTCCAAGTCATGTTAATTTCGGACACATTGGCATCACTGGAAATAGCAAGGCTGATGAATTGGCCTCCGCCTTGATAGCAAGGACCTGCCTGAAAAACACTGGCAGTGCTTCTTAGTATGAGTAGAACACCGTGCGAAAAAATTAATACACTCGCGAAACGAGAGGCCAAAAGTAGTAAAACTGCGTTTTTAATTTTCTCTCTGTAGACAGAATTTTTTTTGAAACGACTTTAAAATTACAAGGATATAATAAATTCTAAAAAAAAATATTTAACCAATTCAGTGCAATAAAGAATAACATATATGAAACTGTCCTTTTAAAATTGCATTCCTGAATATCCTTGAAACATGTCAATATTTACCTAGAAAAAATTATATGTTAAGTATTAATTTCGTCCTTCTAAATTTATTAGCTTGAAAATATAAAATTACTTGGTAGGGCCATTTCAAAACCTTCTCGTCCTTGTGAACCAAAAACCTTTTTTTTGTTTCTAAAGAATATTTTCTTTCATTTGGTACCATTATTGCTATTTTAGTATATTGAACTGCATTTTATCAATGGATCATATCTTTAAAATTTCAGTTTCCTTAGCCCACACTTTAGTGGGCATATTGATTGTTTCGTGTGTTTTGAATTTCTTTGGTTTTTGTCGTACGGTGTAATGGAGTGTATGACTAAAAGGTACGAAATTTCCACATATTTGCTTTTTTGCAAATATAATTATTCACAAATTTTCAAAATATTTGTCAGATAAATTAAAATCTTAAGAGAGTAAAATTTAGTACAAAATTTAAGTGATTAAAAAAAATTGTTTTTATTTGTGAACGCGTCTAAAGGTTGGTCTTTAAGGCATCTAATTTTTTATCTTTGGAGCTAAGAAAACAATGATTTAGCTCTCATTAATACTGGTGTATAAACCGTGTATTTTCTTCATCTATGTCTTTCTAAAGAATTTCATTTAAATCGCAAATATTTCAAATGCATACTTAAGTAAATGATGAGAACGTCGAGCTGAGTCGTCTGTGCGTCTGTCTGTCTATTTGAACGCAATCTAGTCCCTTAATTTTGAGATACCCGACTCAAATTTGGCAAGCGAGTGTATTTTTACAATGTGTTAATCATTTGTCTGAATCGGAAAAATAGGACCATTATAACCTATAGTCTCCATACAACTAATTGTTTAGATTTTTTTTTTTTTTGTTATAACACCTCCAATTATGCAGCTAAGCCCACGAAGTTTCGCACTATTTGCACTCATAATCAAGATCAAGTTTACAGCGAAAATTACAAGGATTGGGGTACTATAAACTATAAAACTCCTTCATTTGGGCGCCTAGCACCGAAAAATTTCCTGAGCTATTTGCTAAATAATCATGCAAAGCCCGCTGAGAAAATTTTCAAGATCGGTGCTGTATAAGGTTTATATCCTATGCCACTGATTGTTCAGATACAAGTTTTTGCTATATAACTTGTTTATGTAGGCAGTTAAAATGATTAAAATGTGTTACCGGTTTACCTACCGATCATACATAGCAGTAAAAATTATTTACATCGGTGCTTCATAAGGCATATATTCAATACCACTAATTACACTGGTTTACAGCAAAAATGTTAAATGGATGCCACTATCCAATTTCTATGTAGAATTGTTCCGGATTCCGAAAAACGAGTTAATTTCTTTTCTATGTATACGTGGTCGAGATATTTGCAATTTACCGTTATTCAGCTTTAAACAAAACATCCGGGATTTATATAAAAAAATATATTTATTCAAACAAAAAATGGTGGGTAGGCACCATGTGTGGCAAATGGTAATCAACTATTACCACCTCTGCATGATTTCAGATCAGAGCTTCCATAACTTGACTAACAAAAAGTCACTAAATGATAATAAATAACCTTTAAATAAAATATTTTTGCGTCATATCCTAAATATCAACAAACCTTGTAGAAAAAGTTTTTTTTTTGTACTCCTTATTACAGCCTCCTCAAAGCATTCCTCACCTTTCACTCTTCACTGCACTGCATGCAGAGGCCAATTAAGTATGCTCACGAAATATGTATAAACGATTTAAATATTCAATACACCTAGTATTTACAGGCACTGGTTCATGATTTATGCAAAGTCGCTTGCTATTCAACTTAAATGTTCAGCTTCAATGCCTTTCACGGCAACGTTCACTTAAATCTGCTTTGTCTGCACTTTACACTTGGCACTCATTCACTCACTCACTTGGGCGTTGTGCTTAGCGCTTTGTACTTGAAAGCGTCTACAGTGATTTATACACTGCCGCATACGTGTCAATTACTACGTTTATACGCATGCATAAGTCGCTTTAATTCATTTCACCGCCATTCAAAACATATGTATAAACTGAATTTCAATTCGCTTTGAAAGAGCGAAGTGTTTTGGCTCACACTCCATTTCAAATCGGTAGTTTAATTCTCCAGACAGTTAGAAAGAGTGTATAAACACCGCTCCCACTCAAAGCGAATTGGAGATCTGCTGTTCCGCTCAAATTCCAAATAACCGCATCAGTATTTAAAGCCTGATTAATAATAATCGTTCTTTTTCTTTGGCACGATTTTATAATGCCGAATAAAACTAGATTTTTATCATTTTCCACTATGTTAACTTATAAAATGTCAAATGAAAACAGCTACTTTTGTTTGCTTTTGAAGACGGTTACTTTGATGCCGATATAAAGCCGTAAGTATAAACACTAGAGCGAAATGTGTACGGTGTCAATGCGCTTTCAATTAAGTCGATTATTCCGTGCGTATAAACGTAGTAAATGTTCGAAGGATACCCGGATACACCTAGGTACGTACACACAGACACTCAACTAGTTACATGCATGCGTCCGTGTCAGAGAACAGCTTTGAGTATGATCGAGCCTTTTTGATCACACTCACTAAAAATCAAGCACAAGCGAACGCCACACTCGGCTACTATGTGTTCGATCGAGATGCATACCCGACAGCTGCTTTGGTTACGAACGAGTCTGTTCGATCACCCTCGCTATAAATTGAGCACAAGCGAACACCACACTCGGACACCCGCAGCTAACCCGAAAATTTGTGTAACAATGAAACGGACACCCGAACATTGCGATAAAATGCAGGACAACAAAGAAATTTACGCTGAAGGTAACTGGCGCCAATATGTTCCCACAAAGCATACGAAAATGTTGTTGCTTTGTGCTTGTGCATACGCAATGAAAAAATTAGAAGCGAAGTAGACAAAAATGTGTTTGCATCTATTTCGTATAGTTTCGCGTGGAAAGCTGTGTGTGTATATATTAGAACACAGCCTAAAACTATGTAGGTACATAAATACTTTTACAAAAAATAAATGTGCTCCGAGTGTATAGGGCTTGGGCATTGCCGATCTACACACATTTATACCTAAATGGATGTAGGCGTCGTGATGCCGCGTTTTGTATGAGCAAAAATATAAGAAATGGTTAAATGTACACTTAAACAAACTACCGAAAAATTCAACCTTCTCTTTACCCTCTACGCACAAAAACTAAGAGCACCGCGATGAGAAGGCAACATTTTTTGTAGAAACAAAAACGTCATAAGCCAATCAAGAAAATTTTGTGCACACTCGGGTTGAAACTCGAACACCCGGGTATATTGAGCTGCAAAGCACCCGAACCCAATCAAGTATGTATGAAAAGCAATCGGGTGTTGTGGCCAACATGTTCGTCTTGAGCTCAGTCGATAACGAACAATACTTCTGCTCGTATACAGAGAACGATGCAAAGCGGGTTTTGTTAGATGATCGAGTATACACGAAAATCATGCACCCGGATGTCTGGTCCGTGTACGCTAGGGCATTTATTATTTGCATGAATGCTTTATAGACGACACACAAACAAGCCCACACTCTTATACATATGCATGTAGATGTGTGTGTTCACTAGGTTGGCGACAGTCACTTTAACTGCAGGCGCGCATAAATAAATGAGAAGTAGTTGCGCAGTGTAAAAACAATAAATAGCTGTCTGGAGTGAGTCAACCAGCGTACGCAACGTCCAAACAACTTTATTGTGCACTAATTTGTTTCTTACTTTATATTAAAGTTTCTTAGGGCCGTTTTCTAATGTAAGCAGTAAAGTTGCCTTTACTAACAGGGCAGATAAATTGTTCCTCACTTTAAAGTGTTTTCGTTTTCTTATCTTACCTGTAAAAATAAATTTGTTATTCCGTAGAGTGAAACTTCACTACATTTCCGAGAGTGAAACTTAACTACATTCGTCATAAAATTCCAAAGGTTGGCAATGCAACATAAGCAAATATAGAGCAAGAGCAACTGTTAGCAAAAACCAAAACCTTTGGTTGAAATATCTAATATAGCTGGCTCATGAACCAAAACCAAACCAAAATTTAAAGTTGGGTACAAATTTTAAAGGTTGCATCGGGTGAGCAACAGTTTATCGATTCGAGAATTTAATGCGCTGATGAGAAAACGAAAACTCGTATATCGGGACGATAAAGTGGCCGGTAAACTAAAGGTTAGATGAGAAAACGGCCCTTAATGGAAATCACTCGAATTGACTTAAAAAGGCTTGGCTTCAATATGAAAAAAATTCCACAAACACACACACAGCAAAATCAGACGTTGTTCATACGACGTGTGGTACCCGCTGTAATACGACCGTTCCGATTGAAACTTGCTCCGCTACTAGCTGGCACAGCAGGGATGCTGCCTGATTTCATAGCGGTAAAGTTGAGATTTTGCCAGATTATTATGAGGCTGCAAATGCGTCAGCGGGCGAGAGAGAGTGTGTGTGTGAGAGAAAGAGAGAGAGAGAGAGCGCGCAAGAAAAATAGTGGGAAATTCATAGCAGCAGCAAGGACAATAAGAAGCAGAGGAGTGGCAGGCAAAAATATACCAAAACATTCTGTCTGCAACATTGTTTACGCCAAAATCAGCTGATTGCTGCTGGTTGAAAAATTTGTGTATATCTATTGCTGTGTGTGTGTGTGTGCCCATTATATATAAAGTTTTTGTTGCTAAATCCGGCGTGCGTTTATTTTATTGCTGTTACAATTGCTGGGCTGCTACTAGCACGTGCGCATCCCAAAGCTTTCGTCCATTGATTTTTAATGCTTTTGTTGTGTGTTTCGCATGACAGTTTGATTTTTTTTTTTGCTTAGCTCACGCAGCGTATACTTTACTTTTTTATGAATTTATGCTGCTTCCCGTCAGCTTCAGCCGTCGATCTGGGGGTTTTGTTGCTGTAAGACAGTATTTTGTTGTTGCAAAACACTCCTGGAATGAGATTGTTTACATGCAGAATTGATTTTAAAAGTAATAATGTTTGTGGTCGAGTGGCAGACGAGTAATATTTAGCAGATCAATAAAGCAGCAAATACTGTCAACATTCAAACAAAGGCGCATAGTGTTGGTTTATGATGGTTTGTGTACCACTAATTATGATTAAAAATCGTGGATTAAAATAAATTTAATTTTAAAAATTAAATTTGAACAGTTGCAGGGTATAATTATCTACACATATACATATATGCACGAGTATCTCCATATATACATATCTTTATACATAAAATGAAGTCGGGTTAGTTACACCATTTAAAACTCAATAACAACTGGATAGAATTTTATTGTCTTTGATTTGTTGAATCAACCTCCGCTCCGAGTAACAGAACAGATATTAAAAAAATGGAAAAAATCATGAAAATGTAAGAAGAAAATTTATTTTCTACTAGTTTGGCCTCACCCGCTTCCCTGTGTGAATGAAATTTCTGCGTGTTATGTTAAGTGCGATTTATTTCTTGGCCAAAACCATAGGAGATACTCCCATTTTTAACCGACTTCAAAAAAAAGAGAAGGTTATTAATTCGTTGGAATGTTTTTTTTGTTTTTTATTTATTTTGCCGCATAACTTTGGACCAGTCAACCGATTTCGATAATTCTTTTTCTATCGAAAAGGTAGTGTCTCACATTGGATCATAAAAAAACTAACGATACTAAATTTTTATATGAGAATTGAAGTCGGTTGTGTTTTTGCTTAAATATTACTTGTTGTATTTAAGCATTTATTTTTTTTTTCAAATCAAACCTTCTTAAACCTCTTGGGTATGTCACCCATATTATGATTACCTAATTCCCTTAATTCGAGCTGAGTTTGGCTCTATAAACAGGTGGAAAGCCTCAGACTTGTATTTTAGAAATGCGGCATTTTCAAAATCCTTTATATTGATACCCATATTCTAATAACGCAGTTAACTTATTAAATAATTTGAATATGACTTTTTAAATAGTTTGAAACCCTCTTCAAACACCTCAAAAATGTTCTAAGTGTTCAAACTAAAGATTTTTTAACAGGCTTTCCTTTGACACGCATATTTTAATACAGCACATAATTTGTGTGTAAAGTTATTAAGTTCCACTTTTAAACAGGTGGTAACCATTTTCAAAAATATTTTCAAACTACACCCTTCCTAAACCTCTATTTTCTGACACTCTTGTTGTTCAAGTTGAATTTAATTTTTTTAAACGGTTGGCAACGCTTCTAAATATCATTAAGAAATAAGGCCTTTTCAAAACCATTTAGCTTTATAGCCATATTCTAATATTTTATTTAACTTAATGCATTATTTGAATTGAATTTATTATTGTAACAGGTGGCAACCCTATTCAAAAACCTCAAAAAATTTTCAGCAAAAGTTTTCTTGACACTCTTTCGTTTTAATATTTCATATAACTTGTGTATAATTAAATTTATTTATACCTTTTATACAGGTGACAACCCTCTGACAAATATGCTTCCTAAATGTATGCTTTAATATTGATGTTGAATTAAAAAAACGTGCTAAGCATTGGTTAAACCCATAACGTACCACTGTTGCGTTTTCGCAACGTCTGAACTAATATTTATTTTTTAATTAGATAAGCTTTAGAAATCTTAAAATAGATTATACCAAATGGCAGTATGGCTTTAAGTTTTACTAATTTGCTACAAAAGCAGGTTTTACTTTCAATTGACCTTTCCTCCTTCCATGTAAAATATAGGGACCCGATTTCGACTAATTGCAATAATGCCGATGACATGGATATTATCGGTAACATAAATGCCTTTTTCAAGTTGGATAAGAAAGCAAAGCGAATGGGTCTGGTGGTAAGCGAGGACAAGGCGAAGTATCTCCTCTCATTAAACAAACAGTCAGCGCATTCGTGGCTTGGCGCCCACGTCACTGTTCACAGTTATAATTTCGAGCAAGTTGAAAATTTCGTTTATTTGTTAACCAGCAACCAATCCAACGCAAAATCACTCTTGTCAACAAATGCTACTTTTGACTCAGCAGGA